CTAGTTTTAACTGTGCGAATGCTCCCCTGGTCACCGCTGAAACCTGGGGTTCCAGGCTCAGTGATGAGTCCAAGATCACACCTAAGCTGTGAACCTGCGTCTTCAGGGGGAGTGTGACCCCGTCCAACACAGGCTGTAACCCTATGCCCTGTTCGGCCTTGCGACTGACCAGGAGTACCTCTGTCTTGTCTGGATTCAATTTCAATTTGTTCGCCCTCATCCAGACCGTTACAGCGGCCAAGCACCGGTTCAGGACATGAACAGCCTCCTTAGTATCGTTTCTTAGATTTATGGGATAGCTTCCAGGTGCACACAGCAAACCATATGGCATATGCAGCTCCAACATCTTGTCATCACTTCCCATCTCCAGCAGTATGCTGGCTTGAAGCTCCTGCCCCATTCTGCCTCATGATAGGACCAACCTTGTTGAAATAATAAAATCATTTTATACAAGAATGTTTGACATTGCAGTCTTAAGCATACTTATTAAAACAAAAAATCAATCGAACCATTGGAAACAACAACAACAACAAAACTTGATTTGTAGACCACCTTATCTCCCCGAAAGGACTTAGGGCGGTTTCCAACGTGTATGGCAAACATTAAATCCCAAAAAGGGGGGAAACGTACAAACAATTTCTTTATTTATTTATTTACGGCATTTATATGCCACCCTTCTCACCCCAAAGGGGACTCAGAGCGGCTTACAAGTAAAATGAAAATACAATATTACCATAGCACAATATTAATATTATATATTGCTAAATTACAGCAGGACAGACCACATCAAGCAATATAAAGTAACCCAACTTTAAACTTAGTAACAGACAAAATAACTAACAATGAAAAATTAAATGGCCCATACAAACATAATGCTTAATATAAATTTAACACTAGATAAAAACATCTAAGAGCAATAGCTATGGGGAAAAATCCATCAAAACAGTTACTCAAGACAGTCACACAATACTAAGCACATTTTGTCAGAAGGAACTTCAGTGTGTGATTGTCCTTTGTAACTGTTTTGAATTTGCACCCTGTTTTTCTGTGCTATTTCGCACGTTATTTTCAGGAGGACATCACATTCCAGCTATCATATTTATAAGAGAAGAAAAATGTAGGCCAGAAGTAAGGTGAGAGAGATGTGGTTATGCAGCCATTGCTAAACTTGAATTCTGACATCCCCAGTTAACAAGGTATTAATAGGGGATATTGAGAGTTACAGTCCCAACAATTTGATGGCTGGAGAATCCTCATAGAGATGGCTCATTAAGGTTTCCTGTACCCTCTGTATGAGCAGCAAAGGTGTCTCTCTCAGGTCCCTTCCACACAGCCATATAACCCAGAATATCAAGGCAAAAATCCCACAATATCTGCTTTGAACTGGGTTATCTGAGTCCACACTGCCATATATTCCAGTTCAAAGCAGAAAATGTGGGATTTTATTCAGTGTTCTCAATTCCCAGTGTCAGGGCCCTTCCAGATAGGCCCTATAACCCAAGATCTGATCCCAGGTTTTCTGTTTTCCCCGGATTATCTGGCAGTGGGGACTCATATAATCCAGTTTAAAGGAGAAACCCTGGGATCAGATCCTGTGATATAGGGCTTGTCTGGAAGGGCCCTCAGTCTGGTTATTTTGACACATGAAATAGAATATTCCACAATCACCTCTCTCCTCCTGGTAATGAAAACACAGTTATCATAGATTACATAACAAACTTAGTAATATTAAGTAAGTTGATAGTATTAAATAACATAGTAGTATGCAGTAAGTTAGCAGTATTAAGTAATTAACTGTTGTGACATTGAGAACCCGCTGCTTAAGAGAGTTATATCACTCTGTAATTTTATGGCTAGTCTGCTTCCCAGGTTCTGATACAGGTTTACACCTTCAGAAGCAAGTTAAGGCTCATATTTTCTGAGGTTGGAATGGCCCTGGAGCCCTATTTTGGTAGAAGAAAGGTGTGTGGGGAGGTGCCATTCCTTCTGTACGGTTCATACCATTCCAGATTGCACACCATTTGTCTTTATGCACCTGTTTATTCAGACAACATATTGATTCTGCAGATTATTTGATTGTTGCTGTAAACAGCTTAATTGACTTATACAAATGCAAAAAAGGTTTTTTTCCAAATAAGAATATGTCTGACTTGCGAGTATTGTCATAGTTATAGTATGCAACAATAATATAGCAAATCCTATTGAGATGCAAGGCATTGCTTCTTCAGTTTGCTGCTTGGTGTATCTAAAAGCAAGGTTTTAAACATTGGGGAGAATTAGCACACACAAATACCCACAAATACTGAAATCTGAAATGATGCACTTGCCACCTTTCACTGGTGGAGCAGACAACTTCTGACATGCTTCCTCATCTTTACAATGTGAAGTTCTCAACCTGTTCTGGAAAATAGCCACCCACCTGTGTGCTATGAATGTGTGAAGAAAACATTTACCCTTATTGTTCCTCAGTTGTTCTATCGATTCTATCTATAGGAGAGGAGATTCCACCTGAACATTAGGAAGAAGCTCCTAATGTTGAGAGCTGTTCAGCAGTGGAACTCTCTGCCTTGGAGTGTGGTGAAGGCTCCTTCTTTGGAGGCTTTTAAGCAGAGTCTGAATGGCCGTCTGTCAGGGGTGCTTTGAATGCAATTTTCCTGTTTTTTGGCAGGGGGTTGGACTGGACGGCCCACAAGGTCTCTTCCAACTCTAGGATTCTATGATTTTACCTGTTTAGACAGATATTTTTCTTATTGTTTCATTTTTCAAGAATATTCAACCAGAGCAGGATTTGAAATAAAAAGTCTAGAAGTATAATTGTTTCAGGGACACTGTTGATAATTCTGGGTTAGACTTCGAAATTGTTGTTGTTGAGTGCCTTCAAGTTATATCCAACATATGACAACGATAAGCAGACCTGTTGCAGGGTTCTCTTGGAAAGATTTATTCAGATGAGAATTGCATTTGCCTTCCTGTGAGACTAAGGGATTGAGACTTGCCTAAGACCACCCATTGGGTTCCATGGCTGATTGGGGATTTGAACGCTGGTCTCCAGAATCATAGTCCAATACTCAAACCTCTACACCACAATGGCTCAGACTTACTCCCATTGGAATCTATGGCAAGCATGATTCTCCCTGTTATGAGTTGCTTCATTATTATATTTGGTTTATGTTCCAACTAGCATAGCGGATTTGAACTATGTTGTATTTGGAATATTCCTGTTGCCATTACTTCTGTGGACTCAGTACCATATACCTTTCATGTAGGATTAATTATGTAGTATGGATATATACTTCTCTTAATTTCTGCAGTAATTTGATTTGTGGCTGAACTACTTGAACCCTGTATAAGGAGCCCTCGATGGCGCAATGGGTCAAACCCTTGTGCTGGCAGGATTGCTGACTGAAATGTTGGCAGTTCGAATCCAGGAAGCAGGGTGAGCTCCTGTCTGTCAGCTCCAGCTCCCTGTACGGGGACATGAGATAAGCCTCCCACAGGATGGTAAAACATCCGGGCGTCCCCTAGGCAACGTCCTTGCAGACGGCCAGTTCTCTCAGACCAGAAGCAATTTGCAGTTTCTCAAGTTGCTCCTGACACAAAAAAAAAACAACAACGTATAAGTATTACTAGCTTGGGTTTGACTTCTTTTCTCCGAAATACAATAGAAAACTGGCCTTTATGCATTTGTAGACTCTTTCCCCATGTCATGCAATTTTGGAGACAGTAGCATCCTGACCTTTGAACTTTTGCCCAGATGAACGTGACACAATCCCTTCCAGCATCTTTTAATGAAAGCAGTTCAACAGAAACTCAGCCAAGACTGAATGTTCCTTCACTTCTTTAGCCTATGTTTAGAAAGAACACTTGCTAATGCCTGAAGGCCAAAAGTAGTGTTCCCTGTCAGTGATGATAATTCAAAAAAACCCAGGAAGCTGAATGTGATCCCAGTGCAATCTCCTGGTCCACTTGCTGTCTTTAGCCCAGAATGAAGGCGTAAATGTGAGCAAGACAACTGTAAGAGAACACCTTCAAGATAGAAGCCCTTTGTTGGATCTGTACATCCCATTAAGTTGGTGGTAGAGAACCAGTTTGGGAAGCTAAGCCAGAGTCCCATCACTCTTGAACACTCGTGGACAGAATAGAGTCAAACCATAATTTTTGAGCCATGGTCGTACTTCTGGTGTCATTAGTATCTAACGGAATTTGCTACGTGAAGCTTTTATAGCCATCACTTCAACTAGGAGCCAGGCTGTGTTCCCCTCCACAATGAAAATCTTTCAATAGACTCCTCTTTGAGCAGTGGGATCACTTATCTTTTCCCCACCAAGCCCTGAAAATGCCATCTAACAATGAAAGAAGCAAAGACTGGAGAGCATCCTATGTAACCCACAGGAGAAACAGGCAACACATACCAGGATGCTCAAAATATGGTTTGTTCATTAAAAAGCTCAATATGATTTGAGTTGTGCATTACAGCCTTCTTCAGGGGTCTCTTTAGGATCAGAATTTCAGAAATTTCTGAGCTAGGAACCCCAAATTCTCCCAATAAATGGTTTTGGAGCTCTTTCTCAGACATTTCTGCAGTTGATTCTGAGGAGCCCCCTGAAGAGGATACTAAGAGCACCCATAGGGTGAATTGCATATGCTTTGCAGCTAATAGATAAACCATCTTTTGAACATCTTGAGACATGTCTCTTGTTTATCATGTTGCACCTGACAACAGAACAAGGAGTCCCTGCTGTCTCCCATCAGAGAGGACAATGGGGTTTTCCTTAACAAGCACAAGGAATTACCAGTGTGATCTGTGCTTGAAGTAGCAGAGATTTCTATACGTCTAGGAAACACAGGGTTTTTAGGGAGGGGTGTTACTGTGGAAGAGTTTCTGTGGAGCCTCCATTGAGCCAGATTCTGACTCTTGGTGGTCTCCAGGCCTTTGGAAGTTACCATATGGCTGTGCTTACACTATTAAGTTTTCTAATGATATTTTGTCTGTTTTTCAGATTTCAGATGATTGGCCAGGATATAGTTTGGATCTGTTTACATATCCACAGCACTACTATGGAGATCTTGACTATGTGCTCATACCACATGGGATCATTGTTGACAGGTGGGGGTCTGTGAGTAACACACACACACACACACACACAGAGAAGTGAAATGTTTTACTTTCTGCAGTGCAAGAAATGTTTTGGGTTTGAAAGCAAGGATTAACCTAGTCATCTTTAAAATACTGGCCTACTTGCTAAATTACAGCATTGTTGGGCAAGTGAGCTTATTAACAAAAGACCCCCTTCATAAATGTACAGCAGAGTAAATTATTAGCAGCAACGTGACGCAGGATCAGTAGTGCAGAGTGATGAAAAGAACAAAAACACAGAGACCAATGTGATCTCTTCCATAGAAATAATAATATATTATTAATATATTAATTAATATATTAATATATTATTAATAATAAATAATAAAATAATATGGCTGCACTGTTTACAGAACAAGGTTTCCATAACACAAACAAAGCTCTTTACACTTCCTTCTTTGCTTCCATGTTGGGCTTCTTTCTCATGTAGAGTAAATAGCTTTGCTCTCACAGAGCCTCTTCTCACACCTAAGTTACAAAGGAGCTTTACACAGTAGCTTTTTACACAATGCAGCCTTTACACACGATGGTCTTCAACTTGGGGCTTCTCTCACCAGAGCTTCTCATACCAGACCTACCTCACATTGAGGCCTTCTCACATTGGGGGCTCTTTAAGACTGAGGCGAACTAACACTGAGGCTTTCTCATACTAGGATCCTTCTCCCACAGAAATCTCTCACACAGAGGGCTACCTCAGACTGATGGCTACTAAGCTACAGGCACACATGCTTAGAGTGAACTGCAGCTTTTAAGTCATTGTATCCATTTAACCCTTTCAGTGCTTGACTCACATTTTTGTAATTAAAAATACCTAGTTAATTTTTCATATTTCTGACAAGCATTCCTATTCCTCCTCGGATGCTTAAGAGAAAGGTTTATTTCAAATAATTTATTTAAACTGCAATACTCAGCAGAGAAAGTGGTATCCCCAAGACCTCAACATCATTTTTGGTATCAAAATGAGGAGGGTGGCACTACACTCAGTATCTTTAAAAAATAAATGCAGACGTAGTGCGCACTTCTCTTCATTTTATCCTTTTAGGCTTATTATTTAATGATAATTTTAAGAAAGCCTGCCAAAGTATGCCTTTATTTCTAGTGGCAAGGGAGTATATACTGATGAGTTGTCAGACAGAATCAACTTTAAATGCTTAATCTGAGAGGTGTTTTGAATGTGGGAAAAGCCGAAGGGCCTAAATGACACAAGAAATTCTTCAGGGTGCTTCTTGTAATGGTCAGTGGTGAAGACTGAAAAGAGAAGGTGTTAAAGAACATTCAGTACCTCTTTTCTATTGAAAAGCAACAGCATATGGTATTGCTATACTCCCTTATTGATAATCAACATATTTGTTTTTCTCGTGTTTTCTGCTTACTCTCTGAAAAGCTGCCACCTTGTATATATTTGGAGGTGATCTTATTCAGCTGTCTGAATAGTCACCTTTCTCACACAGATACCAGTCTCTTGGCTGGAGGAAGGAAAAAAAATAAATAAGAAAATCCAGTCCTGCTATAGGCATGTCATACATAGAAAAAGTGAGATTTATCTCTAACCAGCTGTAGCAGAATTTATATCCTGGTACTTATCCAAATGCAGACATCATCTGTTTTTACCTCATTACTCTGAATGGGATGTGCATTTAAGTACACGTCTCCAGCCATATTCTAGTCATGAATAAATAGCATGGTATGTGCAACATAGTGGAATCACGATTAATATATTTTTAGATTTAGGCCATGCATGATGTTTGATCATAACGCAGGATATGCTTGTAGTGAAAAATCTTACCATATGTTTATCCTTATTTTATTTTATTTTTTTTGCTTTAGGATAGAACGTTTGGCCAAAGATATCATGCAAGATGTTGGATACAATGACATTGTGGTTCTCTGTGTGCTTAAAGGTGGCTACAAATTCTGTGCTGACCTTGTGGAGCATATTAAGAATCTCAGTAGAAATTCGGAACGGTTCATCTCCATGAAAGTTGATTTTGTCAGGCTGAAAAGTTATCGTGTAAGTAATGAACTTATTTTTAACACACTGTTTAATTGAATACAACAATGAATGCTGTTTGAATGCCACAACTACACATGAGGTTGTAAGGCGAACATAAACTTATTGAATGTTACATTAATAACATAATACCAGGAATAAGAGTGCAAAGCATTAGTGAACAGGGATATCTGTTTCTTTTTCCTTCTAAAGGGCTAGATAAAGATCATATGGCGCCTGTGGCAAAGAGCAATTTTGGCAGCCCCTCTCACTGTTCAACTTTGTTTTATTTTGTTTTGTTATCCTGCTTCACAATTTGCATGCATTACAGTATGATCCCACTATCCACATATTCTGTATTAGTGGTTCTCAACCTGTAGGTCCCCAGGTGTTTTTGCCCACAACTCTGTGAAGATTTTAAAAGGACACCATTATATGGTGGGTTAACTGGAGAGAGATGTCAGCAGCCGACTGGCTGAGTGTGACAGGGATCAGGGTTCTGATTGGCTGCTTCCTCTGGCTGGCTGCTGAGACCAATGGTTCTAACTGTCATTTTGCCTTTTGTTCTCACTTTGGGCAGTGAAAAGAAAGTACTGGCTGCCAACTATCTTAAGGACTGCTCATTTTATCGCATGAGGCTTATTTCAAAGACTATTTAAAAGGGCTATTTTATTCCTTTGTTCCCTGCCTGAATTCAAAGAGACTGATGTATATATTGTTACCATGTTTGAATCTTTGAACTAAAGTAAATATACTGTTACTTGTTTTACAAGCCTGAGTGACATTTTATTATATTTCAGGATATATCTTGGTTTAAATACTGTGGTAAAGCCTCTACTTATTCTGCTTATACACATTTACCAACTCTCACAAACTCTCAGAATTCCCAGCCAGTTTAGCAGTTCCTGAGAGTTGAAGACCAAAACATCTGGGACACACAAGTTGAGGACCACTGTTCTGTATCCATAGTTTCAGTTACCCATACTCCAAAAAACATCTCTGCACCTCTCAGCATCATCTAGTGCAGAGGTTCCCGATCTGTGGGTCCCCAGATGTTTTGGCCTTCAACTTCCAGAAATCCTAACAGCTGGTAAACTTGCTGGGAATTCTGGGAGTTGTAGGCCAAAACACCTGCTGACCCACAGTCTGCGAACCACTGCTCAGGTGTAGTCAGAATATAGGGTTCACTATTATCCATGGCTTCAGGTATCCACGGGAATCTTGAAATGTATCAGGGGCCATACTGTATGTATAGCTGTCTTAATAAGAACAGAAACTTGTATATGTGGATCTGATATTATGTTCTGTACTGATATTATATTATATTATACTGATATTATCCTAGTACAGGCAGTCCCCAAGTTACAAACATCTGACTTACAAATGACTCATAGTTAAGAACAGGAGTGAAACAACAGGAAGTGAGAAAAATCTGCCCCTTGGAAGGTGTCTCAACTGAAGCTTTCTCACCAATCCTTGTTTCCACAACAAACCACATTTTTCAAAATCCAATGACTACAGGGACAGAAAGTGAGAGGAAATCTTCTGAAAAGGGGCACAGACCTCAAAGCAAACCCTACGGGAGTGTTAACCCTTCCCTATACTATCCAAAACTTTTAGATAGATAGATAGATAGATAGATAGATAGATAGATAGATAGATAGATAGATAGATAGATAGATTAGGGGGGGGGGAGAGAGAGAGAGTCTAAAGTTACATTTAAGAATGTAGCTGTTTCGACTTACATAAAAATTCAACTTAAGAACAAACCTACAGAATCTATCTTCGTAATTTGAGGACTGTCTGTACTAGCCTAATGGTTTAGATTCATGCTTCTTAAGGTATCTAATATGGAGGACTGGGAAGGTTTTTTCCCAATGGAACAGGGACCATATTTGTGCCCATTGGCTACATTGATTTATTTCCTTCTTGGAAACTCTAACCTGGCATCCCATAGCTTATGGATCAGCATTGTCCAAGAACCATCACTTTTCAGTAGCACTGTCCTAAATTACAAGGTTGTATATTTCTTACTTTTTTGTTCTTACTTTCATATATCTGTGTTTTTCCATTCTCTTTTGATATTTTTTTCTCTCTCTCTAATATGCTTCCCAGATAATAGTGTTTTTCTCCCTTCATGCTTGCCTTTACTAACCATTTCCTGTTTCTCTCTTCCTTAAGGGAATCCTGCTGCTTTCTGTTCACTTTACCTAGCTGTTCTTTTTTCTTTCTCCAACTGTTTGTCTCCAAGAACAGTGTCCAAGTCTTTTAAGCACTGGTGAGATTCTGATGTCTTTTCTTGCTTCATGCTCAGCACTCACAGCTAAAAGGTTTGTTCACTGCAGACAAAATAAATGAAAGCATAACAGAAGCTTCTGAATTTAATACTTACAACTGATTCAATAAAGTTAATTTCATAGACATATACATATTTAGCTTCTTATCAAGCTAATACTCAAGCTTGATAATACTCAAGCTTGGCTTATACTCAAGTCAGGTATTCATTATTTTACTCTATTGTTGTTGTTGTTACTACATTTATTATTTTAATCTATTACTGTTATTATTTTAATATTATTGTTATTCCATTTACATTATTTTACTCTATTATTGTGATTACATTTACATTATTTTACTCTATTCTTAATATTACGTTTATTATTTTACTCTATTATTATGTTTATTACATTTATTATTTTCCTCTCTTTATTATTATTGGAAGGATACGTAAGCACATTTACATTGAAGAAGGTTAGAATAATGGTTTAATCAGAGATGGACAGTCTTATCTTAAATTACAGTTTATGTAAATATTCAAAAACATTTAACCTACTGATGCCTTAATTAATTTAATTTTATTGATATCTATTTTTATTTTTGAAATTTACCAGTAGCTGCTGCATTTCCCATTCTCGTCTTATACTCAAGTCAATACATTTTCTAGTTTTATGTGGTAAAATTAGGTGCCTCAGCTTATATTCGGGTCGGCTTATACTCGAGTATATACGATAGTTTAATTGAAATATTTCATATCTCCTGTCCATTGGCTTCCAATGTTCTTAATCATGACTAATGAGTATATGAATCTCAGGCTTCAAAGTTAACATTTTCTACACTTATTATCAAGAAAGCAACTCTTCTTATGTGCCTGTATTATAAGAAATCATTGAAAGAAAGTTGTTTTGCTAGTGTCTGAATCATGTGATGTATAAAAGATTGTGTCTTGACTTAGTGCTCTCTTTCCTAATCCTTTGAAAATCATCAAAATCATTTATGGTATGCAGAACATAACTAATTTAAAAAATGTGACCCTTTCCCTCACCCTGAACAACAACCCCCAAATACAATGATTTCATTGATATGTACACATGAGCAATTGACATTATATATTTGCTTTTGCTTTTTTCTGCTCTTTACAATTTATTTTTTAATCTTTCATTTTCAGTGGTTGTCACAAACAGAAGACCCAGTCCTTCAAAACATTGCAAATGTACAATACTGTCCTTGTGTTTGCTGCAGTTTTTGAGGGAATCTGGTGTCATTCATTATGTAGTTAAGATTTGGGTGAATTGTGGTTTGTTTTTAAAACATACATTGTAAATGTGAAGCTCTAATCAAAGCTTGGGAATGTACTTTTAAAAAGCAATTTGCTACAGTACAGTGACGCAATTATTATTATTATTATTATATTTATTATATTTATTTATATCCCGCTTTATCTCTCCCAAAGGGGACTCAAAGTGGCTTAACATAAAAACATTTTAAATATACAAATATACAAAAATTAGAACAGGATTAAATATAAACAATATTTTAAAAATCCCAGTTAAAAGCCATTAAAACAATTTCAAAGTGAAAACCCACACCAGCCCCCGAATTGATCTTTATAACCTTCTTCTTTAAATGCCTGCCACCGGAGGGACAGCAGGGAGGGGCTGTACTGGCTTTCCTGAGCAAGGAGTTCTAGAGTCGAGGAGCAGCCACCGAAAAGGCCCTCTCTCTCGTTCCCACTAACCGTGCTGGAGGTGGGACCAAGAGAAGGGCCTCTTTGGAAGATCTCAGGGCTTGAGCAGGTCCATACAAGGGGATGCATTCAGCCAAATAGCCTGGACCTGAACCGTCTAGGACTTTAAAGGTCATAACCAGTACTTTGAATTGTGCCCAGAAACAGACTGGCAGCCAGTGGGGGGTGTTGTCCGCTCCCTATAGCCAGCCCCAGTGAGCAGCCTGGCTGCAACTCTTTGGCCTAACTGATCACTCTTTAGAGGCATCCCCATGTAGAGTGCATTACAGTAATCCAGACAGGATGTAAGTAAGGTGTGTACAACCGTAGCTAGATCTGGCTTCTCAAGGAACGGGTGCAGTTGGTGCATATGTTTTAATTGTGTAAAGGCCCTCCTGGCCACTTCTAATACCTGGGACTCTAGGTTCAATGCCAAGTCCAGGAGGATCCCCAAACTGCAAACCTGTGTCTTCATCTAGCATGGGCTGAATCCCTATTTCCTGGTCTGCCTTCCGACTGACCAGGAGTACCTCTGTCTTGTCTGGATTAAGTTTCAATTTGCCTTCATCCAGTCCATTACTGATGACAGGCACTGGTTTAGGGCAGGACAGCTTCCTTGGCTTTAGGTGGAAAGGAGCAGTAGAGCTGGGTGTCATCCGCATATAGGTGGCACCATACTCCAAAACTTTGAATGACCTCTCCCAGCGGTTTCATGTATGTGTTAAACAGCATGGGGGACAAAATGGAATACTGAGGAACCCCACAGGATAAGGGCCAGGGGTTCAATCAGGAGTCCCCCAGGACCACATTCTGAGTACTGCCCTCCAGGAAGGATCAGAGGCACTTTGAAACAGTGCCTTCCAGTCCCATCCTGGTGAGATGACACAGAAGGATACCATGATCAATGGTATTGAAAGCCTTTGAGAGATCCAGGAGAACCAACAGGGACACACTCCCCCTTTCTAGCTTTCTTCCTAGGCCATCCACCAAAGCTGTCTATGTTCCATAGCCAGGTGTG